AATATATATATATATATATATATATATATATATATATATATATGTATATATATAGACTTTTGTAGCTATCAGATGTAAATAATTTCGGCTGCGGGCTAAAAGTGATCTTTACCTAATAATTTTTTCATTGTCTATTTTTTTTTCCTTTTTCCTGTCACCGACTTCTTTTGGTACCACGTACCGTAGAGAAAAATATTATTAGATGAAACAAGAAATGATGTGGAAAATGTTTTGAGTTTAATAATGTCTTAGCCATTAGATATATACGTGCATTGACCACCAAGAAGTACGATAGGGTGGATTAGATTCCTCCAACCCTTAATTAGACACGTTGGAGCTTTAAGAATAGAGAAATTGCAATTGATAGAGAGCTCTTCCCCTCAAATGGGATATAAACGACACGAATTTAAATTAGTCAGACTAGTGAATTTCTAATATTCGATGATTATAAGAAAAAAATTGTCCTCCCCATGCTCCGTGACTACGGCGGTATCCCGAAATAAATGGGCCAGTCTTCGTCGTGCCGGGATATCCCGATCCGGATGCCACAAAAGAATAGGGAAGTCTTTTTCTTAAAATTACTACCATAAGAAAGTCGCTCCCTATCTTCTAAACGGGCCATCTACCAACTGTTTGTTGATGGATTTGGATTTGGACTTATTGAATATGTTCAAAGTCGAGGTTCGAAACTAAAGTCTCTATTTTCGAACTGAAGCTACTTTCACTTTTCATAATAAAAATAAAAGAAAGTCAACCTATTTTTAAAATTGTGATTTTTACTTTACCCTTGTGGGAATCCTAATTTTATGCTATATATTATGGACTAATATGCATATCAGGCTGGTATTTATTATCTCATAAATGGTGAGTAAAGAATAAATCTTCCTTAATTCAGCTAATTTTAAGCATTATATTTAAGAGAAATTTTCATAAAGCACTATCTTTTAGTAGTAATTAGCCATCTATAGATATTATTTGCTATATTACGGATAATAGATACTTTTTCTGTGGTTATAAGATGTATTTGATGTATTTAAGCTATTGTATTCATGAATACAGTAGCAAAAATAGGCGTGAATCAGGGAAGTCCAGCTAATCAGTTGCTGTATTCGAGCGTATTCGACTGTATTGATGGAGTAAAAGATGGAATTACAGCTGGACATATTATTGTATTCGACTGTATTCACGGCGTGAAATAGGGGATTACACTGTTTTTAAAACGAAAATTGAATCAATTAACATAATAGACTCCTAATATAACTCAATAAACTCAATTATAACATATAAACTTTGTATTTTCAGTTATAAAAAAGATTCTCAACAGAAAAATACACCAAAAATATAGCAATCTTCAGAGAAAATATGTAATACATCTGAATACATAAATTATATAATTAAAAAAAACATATGAATACATTCATGGCATATAGCGAGACAGTGAATACAATGAAATACATAGAATACAACGGGATACATTGAAGTACAATGAAAAAAAGACAGTGAATACAATGAAATACATGGAATACAACGAAATACATTGAATTACAATGGAAAAAAAGACAATGAATACAATAAAATATATGAAAATACAGCGTGATACGTTGAAAATACATTGTCTTTGTTCAAGAACCCACAACTTAGTTCAAGAACAAACCCTAATTTTCGACGAATCCGCCGTCGAGCAAAAACCCTGAATCTCACTGTTCCCACGCATCTTGTACATTGCTTTTGACACGTCAGTACCATCGTAGCTTTTGTAAAATTTCCATAATTTTACCTTTTTTTGTTCAAGAGTAGGGTTTAGAAGAAAAGGCCGTTGATTTTGAATAGCGAAACAAATTTGAGCCTGGGAATCACCGTTCCTTCGCGTGCTCTTTGCATTCAATCCATTCGTATATTCGTTGCAGCCATGACTGAGGTATGACTACGTCGAGTCGAACCAGAAAAGAAATCTCTGCTATAACCACTAGGGCAACGAACAGAGGCAACAATCGTAGTTTTATGGGAGAAAAGAGTAAAGTGTATGCAAAAAAGAGAGAGAATGTGGTTTGTGAAATTTAACGTGATTATGTGAGAGAAAATCTGGAAAAGGAGAGAGAAAAATATTAATTAGCGTATATGGTGCCTTAAGTATAGGATATAACTTTAATTAGATATTTTGCTATAAAGGGTAAAAGGTAGCTATATAATATAATTTTTTAAAATGATATTTATTTAAAATAAATAGGGTACTAAGCTTTTCTATAGGGTGTAAAATTTCCTATACTTAAAGATTCAATCTTTGTTTTTTCATCACTCTTTGGATTTGTACTGATAATTATGTGCATTAGGGCGAAATTGTTTCATCATTAATTATTTGAAATTTTTCAAAACTTTAAGGGTCTAAGTCACAAATAACTAAACTTACTGAAATCATTCACTTCAAAAAAATAATATTATTTTCAAATATATATGAAAAAAACAAAGAAGTACGTACCTTTTAATTAAAGCTGACTTTGGTAATTTATAAATGTTGTAATGTGAAAAGTAGCATATCAAAATATGTGCTAGAGTTTAAATAGAAGACTTCCAGCGTTAGGTAAAGATTTTGAAAATATTTTGGAATTGCAAAACAAAAACAAATTATAATGTCCAATACATAGGACAAAGCAGTTCTTTATTTCTAACTAATCATTTGTACTTTCTCATAACACGAACATTGACTTTTTAATTTGTTTATATTCAAAAATTTAGATGATTATAAAACTATTAGATACTTCAAACGGTCAATTTGGGAATAATTAAATTAACTATTGTTAGGATTACATAATTATTGGAACTTGTGGTTCTTCACTAAATCAAATGTGGTTTTTCTAAATTTGTTATAATAATATAATTATTGTAAAAAAAACCTAGCAACGGTAAAATTGAGAATAAGTTAAACTAATCATCGTATTACAAGTTAACATGGATTGTTTAACATTATTTCAGTTCAAATTCTCGAATGGAGTAGTTTTAATATTCATATGGTAAAAATAGAAATATGTACTAATTTATTTCCACATTGTAACGTACATTTTTAAGGTGCTAAAAGGGCAGCCCGATGCACTAAGCTCCCGCTATGCGTAGGGTCCAACAAAAGGCCGAACCACAAGGGTCTATTGTGCGCAGCCTTACCCAGCATTTCTGCAAGAGGCTGTTTCCACGGCTTGAACCCGTAACCTCTTGGTCACATAGCAGCAACTTTACCAGTTACGTCAAGACTCCACTTCTACATATTTAAGGTGCTAACTTATTTAAATTATATCCACTTGTGTAAGATTCCAATATTGGATTACACTCAAACTTTCAAATTTTGTTTTGTCAAAAAATACAACATGAAAACTACACTGTCATGTTATACAAATTCTACATTGAGAAAATTCAAATTTGAAAGATCAAACAGATGTTGGCGTTCTTTCAAAGGGAGCTAAATTTACTCATTATTTATCACATTTTCACGTTATATTTATTGTTTTTATTTAATTGTGTATGTAATCCTTTAATATATAAAAACTAATAATATTGTTTGTGAGAGTAGAACTAAAAACTTGGCACAAAAGTCTAATTAATTGAACGATTTTTGTTACTTTTCGACCTTGGTTTCTTAGGTGCAAGTTAGAAAATTTGAGAAACATAGTCATCTTATTTAAACAGTTTTTAATAGCGACGAGATGATCATCTTATAAAAATAACTTTTACTTGACTATATATTATTGATTATTCTAGGTTGTTAATGCTTGAGGCGACAAGTTTATATTATAAAGGAAATAAAGTAGCGGATGATCTAGCAAAATTTGGAAGCAATTTAGATGTTTTTGAATTTTGGGATTCTTTTTATGTATTTTCATTTTTTGAAAATGATTGTAATGACCATGTACCCATGACAAATCGGGTAAAATTCAAAAATAGTTAGATTTATAAGTGGTTATTAAAAATTAGCCATAATTTTAAAAGTAATCGAAATTTAGCCGCTTTTCATATAAAGATAAATTTGATCAAAAATACTGTTCAAAATCCGAAAAATATTCCAGCATAATATACTGGAGTTCTAGTATAATATACTGGAGTTCCAGCATAATATACTGGTCCAGCATAATATGGTGGAAGTTCATACACAGGTGCACCAATCTCCAATATATTATGCTGGAACTTTCCGTATTGCAACAGAATAGTGGCTATTTTTCAATGATTTTGCAAACGCTGACTATTTTTCAATTACCAGTCCGAAAAGTGGCTAGTCCGTGCTATTTTCATAGACAAATCAAGTCATGTACTAAACTCTACTTTTCATTTTTCTACCAAAAAAATCTCTGCGATTCAAGATTTGCAAGTTTCTCTCAGTTCTCTTTCTTAAAACTAAAGCAATGTAAATGAAAGTAAGAAAACAATGTTTGAACAAATATATTATTTTTTCAATTTTCTAGAATATATTGGATTTATTAACAAAGTAAATGTGAGAACCAAGAGAATCACAGCTGCATGCATGCATGCATGCATTAATGGGGCAAGTAAGAATGATAAAGAATTAAATGGAGAGCCAAAGCTGACAAGGAATGAGCCTTTTTTTGGTGCTGTTTTTCCTGCACTGCAATTCTTAACAAATACGCAATAAATGAGAAGTGACAAAGAATATCTCTATTTTGTTTGGTGAAGAGAATTACCCGATATTTATACAAACGAAGATAATATGTACAACAATAATAATAAATTCAGTGCAATCTCATAAG